TTTCAGTCAAGAGCCTTAATATTATGAAGTCCAGTACCATGAGGCCATAATGGAACACTCTTCCTGTTATTCCTGTTTGTAGTTTGGTAAATGGCTGTTAAGGTATTTGTTGGCAGCGGAAGGCATATTTACAGTGTTATTCATGCTGTATCTGTGCAGTACATTAGATTACATATCCTATCAAAGGGACTTACAATAAGATAAGAGGTAACCAGACAAGTTGCAATTTATGCCACATTGAGCTTGGAGCAATTAACACAAGGTGTGTACAAGTGTGGTAGGCGCTGGACGTGACCCTCACTGTAGACCCTCTGAAGAAAGTCTTCCAAATTTAGCCTGGCTTGGCACAACCATGGAAGGTGATTCAAACTAACTGGTGATGTGAGGGAGCAGCCTGGATGATGATCCTCCATTTGATTCAAGATGGACGTAGGAGGGGAGTCTGGTGTAATGAGGGTTGACTAGAAGACATGGAGAGCCTGGGGTCTGGACACTGAGGGAACATCCTACCTGCATACATACTTGCTTCTGCTGAAGTCATTCAGTGATAGATACCTCCTTCAGGAATTTGGATATTGAGGAACCGTTACCTGTGAAGTGGAGTGTTATCTCTCATACCTTTGGGAGGCACCGAGATGGATTGTACAGCGTGAGTTGAGCACAGGCTGCAGGAAAGCGACCTGTTATTGTGTACAGAGGAATGTAGACTGTTAGTATCTGTTTCTTGAATACTGTGCTGTGTATATTACATATATCTTTCTAGTCTGATCTCAAGATTGAAGTATGCAGGTGTAGCCCTAACTTATTTGTGAGGATAAAGTAAACCAGTTGTTCCAATGGATATAGAGTAAAGATGTCAAATTTCAAACTGATTTATAGCAGAATAAGTTAATTATGCTTAACATCCTTAGATGGGCAGGTATTAATACATACAATGAGTACAGCTTGAGGTATCCGTGTATTCCAGACCTGACCGTTGTAGTTCATTGGATAAGAAGGTAGAAGCTTCATGTTGTTACCAAAACATGGATTTGTTTGTGAACAGAAACACTTCTTACAAAACAAAACACAACCATGCTTGGGAACATTGTTTCCATCTTATATGACAGTAGCAGACTGATAAACAACTGAGTATAGGAGTTGGCCTACTATATACTGTGATAAACAGCTGAGTATAGGAGTTGGCCTACTGTGATGAACCATAGCTGGATGATTGCAGGCTGCTGGTAGTGTGCTGGAAGATTCCTGTCTGTGTAACCTACATGTGTAGGGGTGCAGCCCTCTTGGGTGGAACACGATTAAGCTGTTCAAAATTGTTTTGTTTCAACCTACTCAAGGAAGTGGTTCACATTGATCTGAAACAATATTATATAAATAGTGTGGCCTCACTTAAAACATGAGTTTTCGTTTCACCTGATAAGCAACAGGGCCTTGAAGCTGTTTGATCTCCTCGATGTGACATTTACAAATAGACTCAGCCTTTGCACCTATTGATTACTGAACAAGTCAGAGGTAGCAATTCATTAGTTTCATGATACAGAGATTGTTCTCAGCAGTTGCCATTTTTGTGCTGTCTTGAATATTGTGTTTCTACTACTTTTTGTTTGAAAAGTTGCAACCTTTTTGTTATAAGTAATCATAATTGATTCCATGGCATTTTATCAGAGAATTTGTTTTGCCACACCCGCTAGTGGAATGGCTGATAATAAGGTGGGCAGGTCTTGGGCTGTTACACTATTACAGATTATTACATTGAACTTTATCCCTGATTTCATATTGTTCTCCACAGTGATTTGTGTTAATAATTTCCATAGCAGTATGTGATATGGCTATTCATCACTTATATGTTTATGAAAGAATATTTAAGAATTATCTTCATGTTTTAATTTTCAATATGTTTGGTGTGCACACTTTGTGTAAATTCTCTATGCTGGTTTTTATGTATTTACCTCCATAAATATGTGAAATATTCAGTTATAAAATATTTTGACCTAGAAATATGAATGTTTTTAAGCCCTAGGTTGAGTATCGTGTGTTCCTTACAAATGTTTATGACATACCCATACTCCATCCATACAATATTCCATATCCTTATGTCATGTCTATCACATACCTGTACTCCATCCTGACAATATTCCATATCCTTATGTCATGTCTATCACATACCTGTACTCCATCCTGACAATATTCCATTACCTTATGTCATGTCTATCACATACCTGTACTCCATCCTGACAATATTCCATATCCTTATGTCATGTCTATCACATACCTGTACTCCATCCTGACAATATTCCATATCCTTATGTCATGTCTATCACATACCTGTACTCCATCCTGACAATATTCCATATCCTTATGTCATGTCTATCACATACCTGTACTCCATCCTGACATTATTCCATATCCTTATGTCATGTCTATATACCTGTAAATCCATATCCTTATGTCATGTCTATCACATACCTGTACTCCATCCTGACAATATTCCATATCCTTATATCCTATCACATACCTGTACTCCATCCTGACAATATTCCATTCTTATGTCGCTGTACTATCTTATGTCATGTCTGTCATCATATACCTCCATCCTGACAATATTCCATATCCTTATGTCATGTCTATCACATACCTGTACTCCATCCTGACAATATTCCATATCCTTATGTCATGTCTATCACATACCTGTACTCCATCCTGACAATATTCCATATCCTTATGTCATGTACCTCCATCTGACATCCTGACAATACATATCCCATGTCTATCACATACCTGTACTCCATCCTGACAATATTCCATATCCTTATGTCATGTCTATCACATACCTGTACTCCATCCTGACAATATTCCATATCCTTATGTCATGTCTATAACATACCTGTACTCCATCCTGACAATATTCCATATCCTTATGTCACGTCTATGACATACCTGTACTCCATCCTGACAATATTCCATATCCTTATGTCATGTCTATCACATACCTGTACTCCATCCTGACAATATTCCATATCCTTATGTCATGTCTATCACATACCTGTACTCCATCCTGACAATATTCCATATCCTTATGTCATGTCATAACATACCTGTACTCCATCCTGACAATATTCCATATCCTTATGTCATGTCTATCACATACCTGTACTCCATCCTGACAATATTCCATATCCTTATGTCATGTCTATCACATACCTGTACTCCATCCTGACAATATTCCATATCCTTATGTCATGTCTATCACATACCTGTACTCCATCCTGACAATATTCCATATCCTTATGTCATGTCTATCATCCTTATGTCATGTCTATCACATACCTGTACTCCATCCTGACAATATTCCATATCCTTATGTCATGTCTATCACATACCTGTACTCCATCCTGACAATATTCCATATCCTTATGTCATGTCTATCACATACCTGTACTCCATCCTGACAATATTCCATATCCTTATGTCATGTCTATCACATACCTGTACTCCATCCTGACAATATTCCATATCCTTATGTCATGTCTATCACATACCTGTACTCCATCCTGACATTATTCCATATCCTTATGTCATGTCTATCACATACCTGTACTCCATCCTGACAATATTCCATATCTTATGTCATGTCTATCACATACCATACTCCATCCTGACAATATTCCATATCCTTATGTCATGTCTATCACATACCTGTACTCCATCCTGACAATATTCCATATCCTTATGTCATGTCTATCACATACCTGTACTCCATCCTGACAATATTCCATATCCTTATGTCATGTCTATCACATACCTGTACTCCATCCTGACATTATTCCATATCCTTATGTCATGTCTATCACATACCTGTAAATCCATATCCTTATGTCATGTCTATCACATACCTGTACTCCATCCAGACAATATTCCATATCCTTATGTCATGTCTATCACATACCTGTACTCCATCCTGACAATATTCCATATCCTTATGTCATGTCTATCACATACCTGTACTCCATCCTGACAATATTCCATATCCTTATGTCATGTCTATCACATACCTGTACTCCATCCTGACAATATTCCATATCCTCACGTCTATGTCATGTACTCCATCCTGACAATATCACATATCCTTATGTCATGTCCATCCTGACATTATTCCATATCCTTATGTCATGTCTATCACATACCTGTACTCCATCCTGACAATATTCCATATCCTTATGTCATGTCTATCACATACCTGTACTCCATCCTGACAATATTCCATATCCTTATGTCATGTCTATCACATACCTGTACTCCATCCTGACAATATTCCATATCCTATATGTCATGTCTATCACATACCTGTACTCCATCCTGACAATATTCCATATCCTTATGTCATGTCTATCACATACCTGTACTCCATCCTGACAATATTCCATATCCTTATGTCATGTCTATAACATACCTGTACTCCATCCTGACAATATTCCATATCCTTATGTCATGTCTATCACATACCTGTACTTCATCCTGACATTATTCCATATCCTTATGTCATGTCTATCACATATCTGTAAATCCATATCCTTATGTTATGTCTATCACATACCTGTACTCCATCCTGACAATATTCCATATCCTTATGTCATGTCTATCACATACCTGTACTCCATCCTGACAATATTCCATATCCTTATGTCATGTCTATCACATACCTGTAAATCCATATCCTTATGTCATGTCTATCACATACCTGTACTCCATCCTGACAATATTCCATATCCTTATGTCATGTCTATCACATACCTGTACTCCATCCTGACAATATTCCATATCCTTATGTCATGTCTATCACATACCTGTACTCCATCCTGACAATATTCCATATCCTTATGTCATGTCTATCACATACCTGTACTCCATCCTGACAATATTCCATATCCTTATGTCATATCTATCACATACCTGTACTCCATCCTGACAATAATACCCAACTTTCTGTCCTGTGTTTGCAGAGTGCTGATGAAAAGATAAGGAGCATTAGTAAACAGCCGGGATCCAAACCGGTGAGTCCATCTGCCCCAGAGCCACAGCAGAGGGAGGGGGACAACATGGCAGAACGGCGCATCCAACAGCGCCAGGGAAGACGGGATCGCTTTCGAGTAATGAAGGAGGACTAGGGGATCAGCCAAGTAAAGCAGAAATTAAACGCCGGTCTCGGAGTGAGGGGCCCACCAACAGGGTGACTCGTGAGAGACAACCTTTAGAAGAAGGCAGGCAGGATGACAATTTCGCATCATATGGGAAGAAAAATGAGAGAATTGTTGGTCCAATATGGGCAGTTACTCACAGTTCCACTGCCACACGGATGTCACGGTATTCACCACCCTTATCAGATGATGGGAATCTGATTCATGTGCAGGCTCAGAGGCCAGCAGGAAGTGACTCGGACTCTAATGAGAGTGACACAAAAGTGTGGACCAAAAATCCTCTTGTTATGAGGAAGACTAAGAGAACTGGCAAAATAGAGAAACGCCAGTCAAACAGTGAGAATGGGTTTTCAACAGGGATACCAACACCTATCAAAACTAATCGTGAAAGTTTTGTGTACTGTGGTTCTCAAGACAAGGGGGATAGTGGAGGTGGGGGCAGTTTGAAAGGGAACAAATATCAAAAACTTGAAGAATTAAGGCGGAAACGAATTGACATACAAATGACCTCTGACGAAGAAAACACTCCTGAGTCACGGATATCTCGACTCAGACAACGTGCAATTCAAAGTGGCCTTGGTAAACAGCCAAGACCAGATAGCTTCAGACAAAGTGCAGTCATACCAGGAAGTCCAACACAAAATTACTCTCCCAAATCTCAAGGGGCTTTCTTCCAGAATGGTTCATCCGATCCCAGGTCTGGTGGGACCTCCCAACAATTAGGGAATCAAAGGTCTTCTGTCATACAGTCATCTTACCAAGGTGTGAACGGTGCTCCCTCGTCTTCTGCCTATGGTTCACCTTATGGAGTAAAGCAAACGAGTAGTGGCCAAACTAGACAGCCTCTTATTCGGCCTTTTGATCCAAAGGGTTTTTCTGATTCTGGGATATCAACAAGGGCTGATGCTCCAGCTAATGCTAACAGGTTTTCCCAACATAATGAGGTTCGATCTCCTGTGACAAAGACAGCAATGTACAACAGTTCCCCCGAGGTGGTCAAGCGGCCATTTGACCGCCCCCGTGTGCCATCTGTGGACTCTATATATGAAGGAAGCAGCAACCAGCAGCCTGAGCTTCAATCTCCGGGTGTGGATTATAGCAGAAAGTTCGGTGCTGGTACTACTTACCAGAATGTTGGCCATGGTTTTGTGTTCATGAGGCCAGCAAGCAGTGGGACAATGGAGGTACCTAAAGGAGAATTAGTTCATGCTCCCGTCCGTCAAGGACTAGGACAGAAATCACCGTCAAACTTCAATGAAGTGGTTGAGTTACGGTTAAAGACCAGTCGTGTCATAGATAGACCTCCTTCACAAAGTGTCCTGGATCAGCAGAGGAGGTTACGAGCTAATATAGCAGCTAACAGTGATGACTCATTAGATGAACTGATAGAGTCCAACATTCAGTATCTAGAGAGTGAGATAGAAAGTGGACGTGCTAAAAAAGGTCTCTGCACCAGTGTCCAGATCAGCCAGTTTACCAGATCCAAGGAGGAGTTCTGGTCATTATACCAGTGTACGATCAGGTCCCCTACATTCAGGGGTCCTCCCTACATCCTATGCATCTGCCCAACAGCAAAGAACCACCCATACTATCCCCTCACAGCCACATATAAAACCTGGTAGTGAACTCAAGTTTCATATCCCTATGCCAGGGAATAAGCAGCAACCGCCTGATATTCGTATCGCAAGTGAGAACAGATTTGATTCTGGTGTTCATTATGGTAATAGCCCTACTGCCCCCAACCAGAGATATAGTACCTCATCTTCGTCAGGGTACTCAGGCTATGGTATCCCCTCAGAACGGAAGCTTTCATATGATAGTAGGTCAGTAATACCTACCAGTGACATCTCTAGAGATGCCTTCTCTAAATCAGACACTCAGCTGAATTCAGCTCCACCCATACCAGCGTTCAGGGAGGGTGCTCTGCATCCATCATATGTGCATCCCAAATCTAGTTCAGCAGACCAACTACAGCCTGATGGCACCACGGTCATCACAGATAGTTTGAACATTCCTCATCTTGACCGTGGTATGTTTTCAGATGTGGATTACGACATCGAAGTATCAGAAAGAGTGAACAGATGGGAAACGTATATGAAAAAGAGGAGTGATCCTGATCTTGGAACCATACAAGAAAGGACTGAGCAGGATCTACTGCCAAGGAATATTCGTAGATCAGTGTATGTGGAGCAGAAACTTGAGATACCACAATCCCCAGTTGGACCTGTGTCTCAGAGCTTCACCTGGAGTAACCTGCAGACTCTGAAACCATCTAATTCTGACCCAATGATTCATCTTGCTACCGATCCTCAGATGATAGCACAAGAGACCAAAAGGTTATTCCACCTGATCAGAGAGCCAGTGTCAGGTGCCCAGTACCACACTGCAACCAGTGCAGTGAGCACTTTCTATAATGCACCAGTTCCACAGCTAGCTACTGGTGGTGTATTGACTGCAGCAGAACTGCGAGAACAAATGCTAGCCCACAAACAGCCAGCTCTCGAAGCATCCAGCCATGCAAATGGTGGGAAATGTGTTTCTCGTTATGAAGAACTCGAAGAAATGAGAGATGCTAAGAGTGACAGTGTGAAGGATTTGTGTAGAAGGTTTGATCTTGACTTCCAGCCAGATTTGGACAGTCAGTTTCAAGGGCAATTACGATCGAAACATGATGATGATACTGACTGGTCAAAACTTATATCTGACCTTGAAGATAAAATCAAAGAAACTGAGGTTTGGTCTCCGAACATGGAGAGTAACAAGGGAGATATGGTCAGCATAGAAAGAGTGAAAGCTAGAACATTGCAAACAATACCGTTCTCTGAGGACCCTTTCTGGAAAGAAATTGAGGAAATGACGAGTTTCGAGAAAATGTTTAATGGAACAAGTTTAGATGACCCTCTGTCTTTTAGACAGCATCAGCTTGATTATCCCCATAGTCAGAGCTACACACTCCCCACCCAGCCTCGTACCTCAGCTAGAGACAGAATACATAGGTCAAAGTCACTTTACACACCCAATATAACACCATTAACCATTTCTGTAGATAAATATAGTGCCCCCAGTGCTTTAGATGATGTCTTAGATGACATCAAAACATCCTTGGAGAAACAATCCAGCCCTAAAGTAAGGAAGGCTGGGGACAGCTCTGACTCGCATAGGTCTTCTCCAGGTCCACCATTCGCTGAGGTGAACATCTCAAGCTCTTCGAGACCAAGAACATATGCAGATGTTTCTAGGAGCTATTGGGATGACAGTCACCTCGGGGCAGCACCAAGTGTGGCTCCTGGTCCTGCTGCTGCTCCTGCTCAAGGTTTGTTGTTGACATATGCCACTCAGCAGCCAGCCCAGCCTGTTCTTGGCATGCAGGAGTACCCCAATGTTGTGAATGGCAACTATCAGCTTGACCCTAATATACTCAAACAGAAGCTGCTTAACACCGGTCTTGCGCAGGATCAGCTTCTCACAAAGTCACCTGGACGCATTCGACCCAAGCCGCCTCCTCCGCTTATCATACCACAAAGCTCCCAGCAGCCTCCCACCTTGTTCTCAGTAACCCATCCTGCTCCTCTGAAGTCCCAGCCTGTACCACCTCGCAATGTGCCTTCCTCTGAAGAAAAGATTAATCAGGTAAATCAGTCTATGGAGGATCTAAGACAAATTGCTAAAGATGTTGAAAGTAAGATTAATCAAATTAAAACCAAACTAGTTAAAGCTGACGAAAAGAACCTTGATAAAATTTTGCTGACCCTTAGAAAGTTTGCTCCTGCAGCAAGTCCAAAATCTTTTGAACCTCGTAACGAATCTTTCCAAGATTTTTATGTGAAAAAAAAGTCCAAACTATCAGATGCCCTGACCGAACTTGAACGCATTTACAAGAGTTTGAATCTGGATGATGAAAGTCTGCTGGACAGAGCAGAGAGAAGGGACTACCCATCTTACAGGTCCCAGCGTCCACTTCAGTCTCCCAGTTTTATAGAGAGACCTGAGCAGAAGATTGAGACCAGTAGTTTCTCCTTCCAAGTTGCAAAACCTGACAGATTTAGAAGCAGAGAGCCTGAAAAAAAGACAGAAGCAGACTATGAGGCCATCTCTAAGTCTTTTCAGGCCATACTTGATGAAGTGAATCAGACATCAGCTGTGATGGCAGGACCCAGCAGGATGCAGACTTCTCCAGGTAATGCTGTGTCAAAGTTGAACTATTACCGTCCTCAAACAGGACCAAGTCCTGAGCCAGTAAGGAAAATATCAGCTCCACAGATGTCTCCAGTCTCATCAATAACGTTTCAGCCAGAAATTACTGTCAGTCCAGAGCCGCAGAGAAAAACTTCTCTTAGAACTGGCATTCCTCGACCTTTGAACCTTCCTGTGGTAAGTCCTGACCCTGGCAGGAAGGGTCTTGCCCTCATGTCAACAACAGCCAAGGTTATTCAGCCAGGGACACAAAGGACAGTGACACAGGAACCTCTGATAGCACGACAAGGTGTACAAGAACCTCCGATTGGGACATCAGGGAAAGCAATGGTTCCAATTCCCAAGAAGAGTAGTACTTTGGATGATCCACAGAGGCAGAATTTGTCAGCAAATGTGAGTAAGTTGATGACTCAAAGTGGGATTCCTCAAGAAACTCGAAGTCAGAGTGTTTCAATTGTCCTGAAGTCGCCTGGAGCATCATCCGCAAGCAGCTCCCAGCCTGCAATGTCAGTCAGCTCCTCCCAGACACCCCCAGCTGTAGCGCGCCCAGAAAGGCCCGTGGCCGGTTTCGATCCAAGAATCCTGACTTAGTGGATGATGACGTAGCTGTTAGGAAAGCCAGATCCAAGTCAACCCCACGAACAGAAACACAGTCTACAACAGGAGTGTCTCCCACAACAGCTGATTACCTGAAGCCAAGGGAGTCATCACCACCTCAGTCACATCTCAGACTTCGGGCCAGAGAAAGATGCTGACATTATGCATGATGACCTGGCATATCGTTCTCTACGAAAGGACGTATCTACAGAAACACAGAAACCTTCCACAGCAACTTCAACAGTGGAATTTCAGATAAAGCAGCCAGGAACACCACCATCAATTCCAAAATTTGAAAGGTCCTTTGACATCCATGCAACTAAAGTGAGCGAGAAGAAACCTCCTTCACCACATGGGTCACCCAAACAGCGGACAGTGGAGACCCAGACATCATCACAAGAACTGATGAAGAAAACTCTTCGTGGAAGACATCCTCATATGAAGAATGAGGCCTCAGAGGGCTCAGAGAGTAAGCGTCGAGGAGCAAAGATAGGTCGAGGAATTGCCAAGATGGTTGAAATGTTTAGCTCAAGTGATGAGGAAAAGAGTAGGAAGTCCAAACCCCTTCATACCCGAAGTGCCCCTGACTTGACTTTAGCTTTCACTGATGATGATGATCTGGATCTGAAAGATGAGTCCAGAGAAAGTGATATTGGTTCAAAGACGCTGGGGCATATTAAGACACCGAAGGATGTGAGTGTTTCAGACAAAGTTGTGAGCAGTGAAACATCAGAGGTTTCCACTCCAACATCTCCCAGTGCAAAACCTCCTGTCCACCCACTGAAGAAACAAGCTGCAAGCCCCGAGAAGACAGTTGTTGTTCCAGAGCAGAAAGTCGTGAAAGATGTGAGTGGGAACAGTGAGGGTGACAATTTGGAAAGAATATTTGTGTCAAGTAGAGGTAAGCGTGGTAAATCAGCTGAAAGAGGAGCAGAAAGTGATAGTGCAATTCTAGAAAAGCCAGAGAGACCAAAGAGTTTCCATGAACTACTGGCTTCATTTGAGCCAAATACGAATCGCCTCCAGCGACTGAAGACATTGCGGAAGTGTGCATCTGAAGATATTGTGATGCCCGAGACTGTGGTGCAGCGGACATACCACTCCCAGCCCTACCACTCCGAGCCGTACCTGGCAGAGCAGCGAGAGAAGGCACCGACCAGAGAAGGTAGAGCTTGTCTAAAAGTTCAGTTGACTGTAGTGGGATAGTGTAACAATAACATCACCGGTCCACTGTCACGGGCACTTAGTAACAAGAATCATCAAAGACATTTGGTTCATTTTGTATAATAACCTAATAGTGCTCTTCTTTATATTCATTTATTCACATTCAGGTTGTGATTTTTCAAAATATTGATTTTTCTTTGTTATTATTTGTTGAAAATCATGTGGTTTTGTGTGAAACATCATCATGCTGTATTCAAAAAATTGATGTAATAGAACCTTCTTGTCAAAGTATGCTGTTTATGTGCATGCATATCACAACACAAGAAACATTCACTATACAAACTGCATCTTTGGGATGACTGATTCAAGTTCAGTTCGTAAACCATATCACTTATCTGAATCAGTACTGCATTCATACATGTGTGGCATCTTCTTGATGCCAGTTGTGGACCTAATGACTGAGATTACATCACAGAGCGTGGTGGTTTAAGTAGTTGTTTATATGACTGAAGCCAATGGGTAAATAGAGACATGTATCTGGGTGTTGTGGCATACATCAGACTGGACAGTGTTTATGTCGAACACCATGTGGTGACTCTCATGTTGGGGGAACTGATGATCACCGACTTATGTCATTCCCAGGAGGATTGCCAACATCCGATAACAGTTGAACCCTGTCAACTGAGAACTGTTAACTGATGTATATATGGCATATTTATCTCCTGTTTTGAAAGTTTTTTGGAGTTAATTTTTCAATTTAAAATATACACTTTATGAGAAAGGTGGGCCATGTGATCATCAGAGCTCACCCAGTAATGTTCATCATATGGAGGAGTGTATCACATGTTGATGGTGTCATGCTTCTTTCAGAGGTTCGCAGCTGGAGGTTAACTGTGCCTTAACATTCAAAGGGTAAAAACTGGTTGATTCGTACAAGACATTGGTGTCATTGACTGGCTGAGAGTGTTGTTTCATATGAAATTAAGCTTTAAATGTGGCAGTTGTTTCACCTAGACTGTTTATAGAATGTAGACAAGCCATTGTATAACAATACTTGCCGTTGTATAACAATACAAGCCATTGTATAACAATACTTGCTTCCACACTAACAGGGTTTTGATTAATCCACACTGACACATGGGCAGGAGGGGTGTGCTGTCAGGGATGGCACGGCTACAAAGTATTCTGTTCACATCATGCACTTCAGCAATATCACATTCAACTTTCTCGCTCAGCCTTGCAAGCAGTTTAACGAATTCTTCAAAATAAGGTTAGATATATATGTTTATATTTAGGAATGATGGTTGTTTTCCAGTGATAATGCTGGTATTATAAGAAAAAAAGTCCTAAACTCAGAACAGTTTATTTAGGTTTTATATATGCTTTACTTTGATGTTAGTGACATCATGTGTGCAAGAAAGAACTTACAGTATTTTGTAGAATATTTGCGTTTGTTTGTTGTGAATTGTGTTGCTTTTGATGTTGTGTAGAAATAAAAGAAACAATATTTCACTGTAGTTGGTTTTTTTGCTGTTGCATGTTGTGATATTTTAATGTGTTCTTACCCATATATACCCACCAGACTTCAGCATAAATTATGTGCTGACAGTTTCTTTAATGCATGCTACCATTGTGTAGGCACGGATAAGCTGATTCAGAGCAATATTCAGTTCAGATATGTAATTATAAATGCTTCTAAGGAAATGTATTTCCCATTGATATGAAGAACATATATATATCCTGGTTTGGGCATGCACTAAATCCATGATTTCAATATTCTGTTTGTGCCTAAAGTATGGTATTAGTGTTTTGTTGGGTGTTCCTCCTGTATTGTGTAGCGTCAGTTTTGATGATTTATTCACTGTGTTTTTGTTCTTTGTAGGAGCTGCGATGTCCCCTGCATCTAGGAATGTCGTCTGTACAGCTCAGTCTCGCATGAACTTTAAGTCAGAGCTGGTTCTCAGAGTGGGCATGTGTACACTTTGAGTGGGTGAATGTGCTATAGACTGAGGCATAGCACAGGGATACATACACCTAAAGGCATAATGGTATCGAAACGTCAGTATCTTATCAGACATCCTCAACACTTCACTGGTCTTGTACACTCTGTTCCTCCATCACCTTCAATACATGCAGCAACATGGTCACTAGTTAACCCAGTAAATGAAGCCAAGGCCTTGTTCCAGATGGGAGCTGAAGTGTGCTCACCAATAGGCAATCTGATTACATCTGCTGTAGGGCATATATGTGCCATAGCCATGTTTCTCACACCTTTTTCAGGAGGTTAGGACAATGCTAAAGCAAGGATTGGGTCTCACCTATGTCATCTAAACACTCATTTCATTACCCAAATAGACATTAATCATTTTTACACCTCATCATGGCCATGTGTATTCAAGAGTGATAAACTAAATGAGTAGGTATTTCTCTGTTTTGACATATCATTATTCGACATGACAAATGATGGAGATTGCGAACACGGAATCTGAAACTGAACTATTATACTACGCATGATAGTGTAATGTAAATGTACATAATCGTATAGGAACATTGTGTATGATCAACCCATGAAGTCTTGATGATGTATATTTTAGTGAACATTTTGCTGTTCTCTTGAATCAGTTGTAAGTAATTGGGGGTCATGTTATTTGTACACAATGAAGTTTGAGTGAGTCTGATGACAGCATATAAGCTGGTGGCCTTGATTTGGAACCATTGGCATAATCATAATAAAGCTTGTTCTTTAATTGTCTCCCTTTGTTCAGACAACATTCACTCAATGAAAGGGACATAACTCTGTATGAACCAGGTCTGACTGTCCTTCCATAGAGCAATAGCTATGTATATATACACACACAGTCTTACTTATTGGACTTCACTAGTTGTTTTGTTTAGGACATCCAGTCAGGTTGGATGATAGTGAAGTATTACACTCTGACGTTAAAAGTAACATGACACTCTAACGTTTGTACATATTCCGTGTGAATGTGTCATTTCTACTCATCTATTTGACAGACTGTATTGTCTCTCTAATGTTTTTTTTGTTAATGTTTTATTTAACTCTCCTATGACAGTAGTCGAGTTTTTCATCTTCTTAACACTTATTCTCTGTTGACAAAGAAACGTATTATTTGTTTAAGACCTAGATGAAGATAGAAATGGATGTTTCTTAAACTCTGCGGTTAGTATTGTAACACATATTTGTCTGATATAAAGAGAATGTTTCTCTGAAGACAACAGTGAATTATTTCAGGCTGTTCTTAAGTCATAGTACTATTTCTAAGTTTCCACAACAAGCAATCTATCAGTCACATTAGTTGGATGATAGCAATCCCATAGTATGCAGATTTTATGGTTATTTTGGAATCAACCACTTATTTGTTATGCTGAGATAATATATACTGTGAGATGTGATATAAAACAGTAATATACTATATGTGCAAGTGGTGTATACAGTGACGTATTCTATGTTAAAGTGGTGTATAACCTGTGACCTGTTTGTTGTGTAGTACAAGGTCATTAATGAGCCAAATGGATCCATGTACAAATGGATCCAAGCTTGATTTATTGCTTATTGGAGGAACTGTACATTTATGTATAAATTGTTACTAAGTCAAACATCTATGAGGAATTGATGTTATGGTTGTGGCTTTTGGTGATTTGGCCAGCAAAACTACAAGTGCAATACTGTATGAACAATCTCCAAGTGCCCTCTCCCCAGAGACTGATGTGGAACAACTCTCCTGGTTCTCTGTGGATGCTGATACTACCAGGCTGCAAGGTCCTGGGTCACTTTTTACTGGTTATATGTTCCTATGGAATCTTGTCTTGAGCTTCTGAGGGCTGCACCTCCTACACTATGAGGGACTACAACATGAAGCTATGTGATATACATGTGTGTCGCTGGAATGTGCACATCGGCAGACACAAACGCCCAATCATCTCGTGATAACCATTTGCAGGACCAGGATGTAATATATAGCTCTCTTATTAACTTGAATATTTCATCTTGGTGATGAATTTGGTGCTATATCTTCCATGTTTCATCTGTTTTGATTCCTATTTAAGTCAGATAATTCTTGGTTTTCTGTGCAATATGTTGTTATTTAGTTGTTAAGTTATGTTAGTTCTGGACTGAGCAATGGCCTGTATGGCTGACCATGATACTATAGGCAAAGGCAGTACACATGTAGCATTGGTTTGATGTTATTTATGCCGACTTTTATTTTCAAAATCATTGAAAATAAATTGATTTAAACTTTGCTAAGTTACTCTAACATTTGTTTGTTTGCAAAATATATTATTGTATATGATACTGTATCAGACCTAACTATCTAAAGGTATTTAATATTCTCAGTAACTGATGGCTGACATAGCAGATATTTGTGATATCTTATATCCTCTGTATCTCATATTTCGCTACTAAATGAGACATACGAATGTGCTGACATTATCGATATTATTCCTTGTGTTTGTTGAGCTAGGGAGACATGCAATCTAGTGTCTAACTTTGTACAGCCCTGGCAGTATTGTTGATGTAGTGCGCTGCAACAACCCAGCTGTTACACAGGCCAGGCAGCCAGGCATACAGGCCACGCATGTAACATGTGTCATGTTTCACAACGAGAGAAAGGAAGACACGAGCACACCTTCAACTGACAGGGTAACCCAGCCCTCGGACCCTCCATGGTTGAGACTACTTGCTGTGCATGTTATCCTTGAAGAAAGTCGGTTGTCTGTCCCTGCCTTAGCCAGCCTTGGTACCACGCCTGTGTCAACGTCAGTAGGATATACTTGTCACCACTATAGACAATAAAGAGATCTATTTTTCAAAGGTCTTTCTGAGTTTATTTACCCCAAGCATTTCACGCAGCATCTGTATAATATAGTAGAACAAGGATTGCAATTTGACATACAAACACAAAACAGTCAGTGTGTTTGTTCCTAAAGCGCAGAAGCTTTGATGAGAAATATCATGCTTAAACACAGAATACATAAACTTGTACCAGGCAGAGTTGCTGAGATAAGTAGTTATAGTCTTAGAAACCATCGTATGTAAACCAATCAACTGTAGAACCAGGAGGTATGCAAATTCATTTATTCCAAGTACAATTATCTTATGGAACTACTTGCCCGAAGAAGTTACCCATGTTATATATTGGTTACTTCTTCGGGCAAGTAGTTCCATAAGATAATTTGGTTCCATGTGGTTGTTCATTATATATGATGTCATCAGTACCAAGTGATAGTCTTTGTTTTAGAGATTTAAAATTAGTTTCGTTGTATATCTTTTCTTGTACTGACTGCACGGCAAGTAGTTCAGAGGGGCATCCAAATGAAGATTTTCAAGCAGTAGAGTCTGTTCATTTGTACAATTATCCTAAATGTGACAATAAACAAAGATGAGAAGAATAAACGACTTACCCATATCATTAATATGTACTTCCCATGATCTCTCGTTATGAAGTGTAATTCCGAAATTGTTTATCGCTTTCCACGCCTTTGATCTGTTTACCGTCCATGTATACAATGATTGGCTTGATGAGGTACATCCTACTTTCCATTTAGTGGCCCAATCTGCAATTCATAATAGGTGAGGTGAATTTAACGTCGCACTTAAGATCATTTCGCTCATATGACGACGTGTATGTGTGGCTGCTTGTACTAGCCCAGACTGAAGCTGGTTTTATAGTGCTAGCCCACTGAGATACCATGCTGAGGTTGAGCATGAATACCCCACTCAGACACATTATACTGACTCCCAGCCGACCAGTCTTTGTTGTACCCATTAATGCCGAGCGCCAGGCAGGGAACAACAAGTACCATATTTTAAAGTGTTTTGGTAGGATGCGGCCTGGGGATCGCACCCGCGACCTTCCGCTCTCCGGGCACACGCTCTAACCACTACACCACGGATGCGGTCGATATCATTCATATAAAATATAGTTTTGTTTGGTGTCTCTCCATTGCAAAATGTCTATTAATATACTGCCGATCCCTGGTGTCCCTAGCCGTGTTATTGCGGAATATTGCTAAAAGCGGCGTAAAACTAAACTCACTCACATACCGTAAATTACACTCGTCAGATACTCAGTGATTTTACTTACGTTTCCTTAAGTAACATGAACATCTAAGTTAATCTTATTTATGCCATCAATATCTGCTAAGGCGCATAGATTTTATTTTAAAAGTATGATTATTGCGTATCATGTCCTTGAAGTCGAGGAAAATAGGACAGTGATCGTTACATATAGGGTCAAGAATCTCTAATATGCTTAAACCTTAATACAAACATTCCATCTATCAAAGATTTACAGTTAGCGGTTATTCTGGTAGCTTATGTAGTTATTTGCTTGGTTTCATATTAAAACCAGATGAACGTACTCCGTTCATCGTGGACCCGTGGAAGCGTCCCGTCACTATGAGATACATTGCATGCTTTTTCACTCAGTACCATATCGAAAGTTCAGCATATGAAAGTTATTCCGTAATGTTTTAAATTTCATTTCGTATATGGGCTCTTTATCTTTATACACTGGCATTCTGCGTGGATTAAGAAATTGCCCAATGGCCGAGATAATGACTGTGTGACGTGATTTGTATAAAGTGATGGTTTGTAGCTCGCTTCATGCCATAATACGTCCCTCTGCTGATGTATTTCTGTGTGAATGTTGGGTTTGGCTTATTCTTATTATCCCCCGCAACGCGTTTTGCGGGGGTTATTAAAATGGACTCCGTCCGTGCGTGCGTCCGTCCGTCCGTCCGTCCGTGCACATTTGTCTTTTCCGGAGTAGAACTCTAAAACCGTTCACTATTTCTTCACCAAACTTGGCACATAGATAGATCTGGTGGTGTACTGGTGCCTTTTGGTAGTTTTGGAATTCTGAATAAAATATTTTTGGCGTTTCCATGGCAACAAGTTCGACTTAGAATGAAATTAGTGGTAGTGCTCTTTTCCGGAGCAGAACTCTAAAACCGTTCACTATTTCTTCA